AAGAACATGGTTGAATATTAGAGCACCGGCCACATACTACTCTTAGTAAAGTAAAACCGGGCATGCCCAGTCATGTTTGACGGACGCAGCTCAGGAAAGATTTGATTGTGCTATTAGTTAGTAGGTACATTACAGAGCTTGTTCATGCTAAGAACATCTACTGTTAGATTCTTATAACCATACTTCATGTTTCTATTTTCTAAATTAAAATAGGTGATCTCACTACAGTAAAAAACAAACACATATTAGCTGCATAATTACCTCACAAAGCTATTAGCAAGGTAGTAAGAAAATATTATGCTTTCCTAATAATATTACCAAATTACAATTGACCGATTCTAGTATAGGTTTTAAATTTGAAAAGGGGGAACAACTCACCATGCTCTTTGATTTCTTCTTGGACCTATGTTTTCTATCACCAGTCCCCGCCCCGCCGCCCGAATCCTCATTGATCTCTGCAAATATTTAAACGAAAGCATCCAAATAACCAATATGTATCTTCAAAATAGAAAAATCAAATTAATAAAAGCTATCTAATTGATGGAAGGAGCTTCATTTTATAATGGAATTCACTCTATCAGGCAAACTGTGATGTTTTGGCATCCACAGTCAAAACATCAATATAAAATTCAAATATTTAGACATGACAATACGTGAGTCATGATGTCGTAAAAAGCAGAGTTTTTCTCAATCGTTCATGTGGGACAAAATACATAGTTGACATGCTTAATAATAAGTTAACAAAGATGACACCCAATGAATCAAACGGTAAAGCTTTGGCTTCACCATAACAAATTAATCTTTGCCATGTACAGTCTAACCCTCAATACCTGGCATTTCATTTTACAATGGAACTCTGTTTTCCCTTGGCAAGCAGCAGTAATGTAGCAGTAGCACTTCTTTCTCATGTACTCATGTTGGACAGAACAAATATTAGATATTAAAAAATCATGTTACACATGAAGCCAAATAAGCATTTTTTGCATAAACCAAACGGATAAACTCACCTTGGGGTAGACTGCAATCATCTGATAATCATCAATCATGTATAATCTATTCAAACAGATTTGTCGGTCAAAATATGACAATTAGCGTCCACCATGTAGTTTTATTAAGGGTGTTGTTCGATGCCGGGCTGCAAAGCATAAACACGCGTTACTACATTTAAATCTATGTTGCCGAAAAAATAAGTAAGCGGTAAGGTTCATGAAAATATATAACACCCTTTGCCATGGATTGCAAAAACTAAAAAAGAAAAGGATGCCCAGTATGGACTCTTCTATATGCGCACCTTATATTTCCTACATGAAGAAGAATAATAGATGAACCACTAACCTAGAAAGCATTCAAGCGAACCTCATGGTACTGGTCTCTTGCTGTTGAGGCCAATGCACTTGACTTGGAGCTGCGTTCTACTGCCTTCACACCGCAAGGCTTTCTTACTCTTGTTGTTCTGTCCCTCGAATGAAATGAACAGCAGGTACATACACCATAGAGAAAATGTAAGGAACTGAACATGTAAAACTAAAGTTCAGGTTTTCTCACTGGCTCATAGCCTTCTCTTCAATCCTTGCTTCTCATAAAGAGTTTTCCTCTCCCTCCAATGCAATGAACAACAAGTGCATACACCATAGAGAGAATGTTAGCAACTGAACACATGACATGTCCTTCATCAATTCTTAAAAAAAACTAAAAATGAAGCTCTTCTCATTGCCTCATAGCCTTCTCTTCAATCCTTGCTTCTCACAAAGTGTTTTCAGATTCACAAATAACCAAGGAGGCAACCTTGCATAAGAACAGAAAAAAATAGGAAGCCATGAATTAGGAGATGAGCTCAGGTTACCATGCAAAGACGAGTAAATGGTGAAGAAAGATCTCACTTGCGACGGGCTATGGGAGCCATCCTCGACCTCTCCTCCTCTGCAGGCAACCGCCGGGGTGGGGGCTCAACCAGGTGGGTTCCGCTGCAGCTCTGCTGCCCTCACCGCAGCAGCCGCTCCTAATCTCCTGACGGAGATTTGAGCCCGATCCAGAATCACTGCACACAGCGCCGGATGCCGGCGACCTGCGCCTGATCCGGCTGGATCGAACGTAGTTGAGCCCCTGCTGCTGCACCTCGAGCACCGGGGAAGTGGGCCGGGAGAGAAGGCAGCGGTGCGAGAGGAGCAGGGGAGGCGAGACGGGGCGGAGTGGTGTGGGGCTCGAGGAGGAAGAGGATTGGTCCGGGTGCGCTAGGTTTTGGGAGAGGATTGGTCCTCGCTCTAGTCGCTGCTCCTCTAGTCCATCCCGTCAACTCCCTCCACAAAAACACACCCTCTGCTCGCTGGCCCCCTCAGCCTCATAACCCCACCCGTCATCCTCTCTTGAAGCGGCCACGAACGTGGAAAACAGTGGACGGTTGACCAGGCGCCAGCAGCCAAAAAAACACTGTAGCTACTCGATCGAGCGGTGGTGCCTCCAGATGGGCGGGTACTCTAGCAGTCTTTATATGTTCAATGAGTTGTCTCACCAATGTGTTGTCCACATGGCCAGTATATTAGCTTGACAGAAGAGACTTCCAACACTGTTAAAGGCGCAAGATACGTCAGAGCCAACCAAATAAACCAGCCTTTCTATGTTATATATGAATCTCCTTTGTGCAAGCATTTTTACCCTTTGCTATACTACTGAAGAGCATGAAAATGTTACCATCTGAAAATTAGAACAGAAACTGTAACACCCCAAGAAATATAGTTCTTACCACCGACTGTTCAGCTAAACTGGCAAGCAAGTAGCCTGATTCCACTATCACAATCATTTACCGGCGACGACCTGTTAACCCACGCTCAGGACGCTCGACCACCAGATGGGCATACCCATGTCACACCTTTCTCGATCACTTGGCCGTCCGCGTTGTTGTGACGCAGACAACCGGGGCTCGAGCAAGACGGTACAGCCAAGGGAAACTGCATTCGAACCATCTGTTGCAGAGTGAGAGTACTGGTTAAACATGTGGTTTAATGAATGAAAATAATGATGATATATCTGGGTAAAATACAAACGCGCGCAACTACGCTGATCGATGACAAATACTCGTACAGTCACAGAGACTACAAAGGAATTGAAGTGCAGCTATAGATACAGTAATAAAGATCATCAAAACAAGATACTACAAAACTATTCGACTAAACCTTCAATCCCCGAATCACAACCAGATTCTGTTTGACAGACCAGTCCACATAAGCATCACACCAAGTGGCCAGTCAGCCTGCCAGAGTCTGCCACTACTATTCGTCGGTCCTCACACACTTTCAGTGGTAACCACAAATGATATCCCAGTCCAAGGTCCGTGACAAAGCACCTTCTTTTTGGTGGCTACAACTGCAAAAGGGGGCAAAAATATATAGCAGGAGTGAAGAGACACCTTTGCTTATCTCATTTGCTTTCTCATAAGACCATCGATTCCATGCTAGTTTAGTTTTTTTTTCTTTTGACGGTGCTACGGCGAGCTTACGCCGGCCTGAACCATGCTAGTTTAGTTTCATCAGAAACCATGCGGTCACTCCAGTTTTCTCAAGGCATGAAACAAGAAAATTACGCATACCTTCAGTTAGCCTTGTTCTTGTGTTGCTCATCTCCTTGGCGTCTCCGATCAGTTCATGCGCGGAGTATGAGAGGCCTTCTGCAGTTCCCAGCGGGGGTCTGACATGACAGTCCATGGTCCACAATGTAGTGCGCCAGTGGAGCAGCAAACGTATCCATCAGACGAAGCTCGCCTGATAAGGGGAAGTAAACGCGTTAATTCAAGAGGATGGAAGAGAGAACTAATCACCCAACAGTTCAACCATCCACCCCGGCTATTATTAAGCAATAAGATTGCACTTCCTACCCTCCACTTGTGTTTGTCCAGACACTGACTGAGGCACCGACGATTGCTCTCAGTCGCAATACGCAAGCGCATTTCAGAAATGACCTCTCCATGTACTATCTTGCCGGATGAATCTTTTCCAAAACACACATTTTAAAGTAATTTTTTTGGTCAACTGCTAGTGGCAAGTGGTTAGATTTGTTTAGTGAAGCCGGCAAGCAAAGTGATGTCAGGTCAAGTAAACTATGGCATGTTTTAAAAATTCAGGCAAGGACCAAGTCAACGATGACTACATAATCTACAAATCATTTTATTTTATTTTTGTAAGGAAGGTATTAAGGAAGATTGGGCGACTTGTTATAGTAGATTAACAGTTAAACATCAGGTGAACTAGGAAGCTGCCTGGTGGGCTGGGGTTAGTTGTGTAAAATCCAATTTTCTTGACCCAAATTTCTTTGTGGCGACTAGACTACAAGGGATAGACAAAATGGGAGCACGATCTGCTTATTTATCCCCAATCCTCATCCTCCTTGACGATTAGACCTCCATTGATGCTTTATCCAGTGAGAGGACATCATAAGCTTTTGGCTCCCATGCTAGCTTCGCCCAAGAAAAACATGAAGAAACTTCAGTTGCACAACAAAACATACAGCAAGGTATTGCAGATGCATTGCCTTGGCGTTGCTCTTGTGTTGATGGTCTTCTGCTTGCCCTCTCCTACCAGTTCCTGCACGGAGCAGGAGAAGGACTCCCTTCTCCGGTTCCTTGCCGAGCTCTCCCAAGACGGCGGCCTCTCCGCATCATGGCAGAACGGCACGGATTGCTGCAAGTGGGAAGGGATCACATGCATGCAAGACGGGACGGTCACCGCTGTCTTACTGCCTTCGAAGGGCCTCGAGGGGCGCATCTCGCAGTCTCTTGGGACGCTCGCCGGGCTACAGTACCTTGATCTCTCTCACAACTTGTTGTCCGGTGGTCTGCCGCTGGAATTATTGTCTTCCAGCAGCATCGCCATCCTTGATGTCAACTTCAACCAGCTCAACGGAACACTCCATGAGCTGCCATCTTCAACACCTGCCAGGCCTCTGCAGTTGCAGGTAACATCTCAAGCAACTTATTTGCAGGACAGTTTCCATCCGCCATATGGAAAGCAATGGAGAATCTGGCCGCACTCAATGCCAGCAGTAACAGCTTTACTGGGCGGATACCAACTCAATTCTGTAACAGCTCACCATCCTTCACTCTGCTTAATCTGCGTACCAACAAATTTAGTGGCAACATCCCCCAAGGACTCAGTGATTGCTCCAAGCTGCGAGTGCTCAGAGCCGGGGATAACAACCTCAGTGGAACGCTCCCAGATGAACTCTTCAATGCAACCTCGTTCGAATACCTGTCTTTCGCAAACAATGATTTACATGGAGTTCTTGATACTGCAAACATAGTCAACCTCAGAAATCTCATAACCCTTGATCTTGGAGGGAACATATTCAGCGGAAAGATTCCAGATTATATAGGCCAACTCAAGAGACTGGAGGAGTTCCATTTGAACAACAACAACATGTCAGGGGAGCTGCCATATGCTCTCAGCAACTGCACAAATCTCTTAACAATCGACCTCAAGAGCAATCACTTCAGTGGAGAACTTACCAAGGTCAATTTCTCCAACCTGCCCAACCTAAAAACTTTAGATCTATATTCCAACAACTTATCCGGCACAGTTCCAAAAAGCATATACTCGTGCAGTAATCTGACTGCGCTGCGGCTATCTACTAACCACTTACATGAGCAGCTCTCGTTGAGACTAGGTAATCTGAAGTATCTCTCCTTCTTGTCACTTAGCAAAAACAATTTCACAAACATCACAAATGCACTTCAGATTCTTCAGAGCAGCAAGAACCTGACTGCAGTGTTTATTGGGTACAACTTTTGGGGAGAGATCCTCGCACAGGATGAAACAATTGATGGTTCTGGAAGTCTTCAGGTTCTCGATATGCAAGGTTGCAATTTTTCCGGGACAATAGCTGTATGGATATTAAGGGCTACAAACTTACAGATGTTAATTTTATGTGGCAATCGACTCACTGGGCCAATACCAGGCTGGATTAGCTCTCTACGTCATCTCTTCTATATGGATGTGTCAAGCAACAGTCTTACAGGAGAAATCCCATTAACCTTAACCGAGATGCCAATGCTTAAATCAACTGATAACGCAACTCATTTGGACTCAACGGTCTTTGAGCTAATAGTTTATAACAGCCCATCACTTCAGTACCGTATGATCACATCTTTCCCAGCAGTGTCGAATCTAGGCAACAACTACTTGACAGGTGTAATTCCACCACAGATTGGCCAGCTCAAAGCGCTTGCCGCTCTTGATTTCAGTTTTAATAAGCTATCCGGGGAGATCCCACAATCGGTTTGCAACCTAACAAACTTGCAGGTGCTAGACTTGTCCAGTAACAATCTCACAGGTGCTATCCCAGTTGCATTGAACGCCCTGCACTTCCTTTCAGCATTCAACATTTCAAACAATAACCTAGAAGGACCTATTCCATATGGAGGCCAGTTTGATACATTTCAGACTTCTAGTTTCAACGGGAACCCACAGCTATGTGACTCTGTTCTCACTCAAAAATGCAATTCAGCAGAAGCGCATCAACCCGTCATTCTGTCAGAAAAAAGAGCTGACTATAAGATGCCCTTTGTGATTGCATTCAGTGCGTTCTTTGGTGTAGGGGTGTTGTATGATCAGTTAGTCTTGTCAAGGTATTTTGGCAAGTCCTACTAAGGTTTAGTGACACTCCAACAAACAAGCTTCTCCTGTAGGTGTGGGCACAATTAGGTTAGCAAAAAATATTCTAGGACGAAGAGTGATTTCATTCTATGGAGATGTAAAAGTATGTAACAATGTAACATGATTTGAGCTAGAATATGCACTCCTTATTCTATGAATTAATAGCTTTAATTTCATCATTTGCTTTGCTTCCTGGACAATAAATATTGCATTGAGACGTGCGGAATTTCGATGTTCACTAGGAAGCGCACCAGTGCAATGCACGTCTTTGTGGAAAGCAACTCGTAGAATCATTCTGTGCCATTCTTTGGTTTAAGCTGATGTAATAATCTATGATGCATTGCCTACATCACATTTTCTTTCAAATGCACTGTCTACGTCACACTGGTAACCTATAATGAATGCTCACTTAGTCACCTCAAATTGAACATCCAATGTGCTTTTTACCAATAAAGATGACATGTTGAAACAAAAAAGAATGACACTCATGTCAGCTTTAAATTCACACAAGATAAAATGGAAAAGGGGAGCATAGCATCTCAAGTAATCTGTTTGTTGGTAAATTGAGCATATCACTAACCAACAACTCATTATACAACTATTCCAATAGAGTGTATTTAGTTTATCTAGTGGGTGGTGAGAGAATGTAGGTTGCTCTCATTTTACCTTGGAGCTTGTAGATTGGTTATTGATTCATCCACATACATCCTTGCTCTCTCCTCTCATTTCCGCATACAAGCTTGAATATTGGTGCCAACAACATGGCTCATTGGTGAAGACGTGCCACTCATTGGTGAAGACGTGCCATGGTCATTGGTCAACCTGGTTCTGTTCTGAATCCATAGTCCATTCACCTCCCTACGTTCCTATGTCTGAAACAGCAAACATAAGAAATACTTTATTGCCAAAAAGAAAAAGGAAAATAAGTGCAGATGACACATGAAGGAAAATTCTTAAGGGAACTTAAACTTCTGATTTCCTCTTCATGCACAAGAAGGAAAGAATAAATCTATAAGATTAGTTTAGTACTTAAGCACAAATCTCCATCTTACAAATTAAATCATACTCCCTCGATATTAATGGATCGGAGGGAGTAGTTCATTGACATATCTGATCTGAAACACAATGATGCCTACGGTCCGCCCTCACGGCTATATGACTTTCAAAAGTGAAAACTCATAGAAAGGACCCAAAAAGCACGTATATGATCCTCCATTCATGGACACAAAAACACCTAAAAGGAAGCAACAACGAAAAGAATAATTTATAACATTCACCCAAACACAGATTCTTCATTAATACTCACGACACCTCAACGATGAAAATTTAGGAGGTAAAATAGAAGCAGAAGGCGTGATCACAACCCAAAATAGATGACAGTATAATCAATAAGGTATTCAGTTCAAGGTTCATGACAATTCAGTGATGCATTAACTAAGAAACTGCTGCTGGAAACAAACCATACCTCACGGTAAAGATGAATGTTCTGGCACTTGGATTCAAGAAGATTCATACTTAAATTAGAAACAATTGCAAAACCTCCTTCAGTATCCCCTTTGTATCATTATGTAGTGCGGCTCTCTACTTTATTAGAGTAAGAGAACTGCTAAAGCATGTTGCATAACATGCATAGAAATCAGGAAAAAAGAAAAAGAATTTCACATTTGGATTTGTTCCATCATTAATGGAACTAGAACCATCATTAGGGTTAGGGGAAGTAGAAGTAGATGCATCATTACTGCCACTAGATGCATCATTGTTGATAGGTTCTTTAGCTCCTTCCTCATCCGTTATATCTTTGTTCTTGGATTTCTTACTATTGTGAAGTTTTTTATCATCATCTTTTTCCCCGTCTCTATAAGTAAGCTATATGACAATAAGTACAACTTATATTATATTGGGAGAATGCCTGAACTTATGTGGCATATACTGTCTTTCAACAGTCACAAAGCCATCAGGATCAGGGTTGAGTTGAAAAACAGCACATTCTGTACCTACAGGACTATCCCAATGCACTTAGAAATTTCTACTACTCCAGATTCGGATGTGTTTCCAGCTTGCTCAGATATGTTGCTACTTAATTCTTTGAACCTGAATATGTGTACTGGTATTTGAAACAGACCAAAAGTTCAATCAAGAATTTGGGATCTGAACAATATTGCCTAATACCCAGTTATACAAGGATCAAGTTTCAGAGAATCAGAGATCAACAACTTGCTAGTTAACCACTCGTCGCACAATGTAATTTACCCGCAAACTGACAGGCATCAATGCTACAGTTTGGAAGAAAAAGAGTGCTCCCTGGACTGTCAGGTTGTGTGATCCTTTGAATTGCAAACCAAAGCTACAAGAGCGTTCAGCCATTGGAGGTAAAAATTAGTTGCGACATTTTCTCTCCTTTGGATGCAAAGAATCTGAATGTGTCATTGAAAAACTGCAATCATTGACTTACTGCAAACTTACACTTAGTTGAACACTTGAACCGTTGTTTTTTGCAGCTGACGCTCAAGCTCCACGCCAATGTGAAGAGCGCTAAGGCCGTAAACACATAATTAAGCAATGCACACCTCAACTTACAAGACAACATGAAGGATAAATATCAATCTTTTAGCAGATAAATTTAAGACTTAAACGCTCTGAATTTCTTCATTTGCATGAAAAATGGTATTGCAAGGCAGATCATTTTATCTGTACAGTCAGCTCTCCAAAAGCACCCTAAATTTCAGTGTAGAATCAAAATTGCTAAGAATACCTGGAATGGAAATTCTTAGTGGCACGTGTAAGCTTTGCAGATTGTTTGGTTTTTAAATCTATTATTTTCTGATATAGATTGCGATAATTTTGCATTGATGATTGGTACTAGTACTTGTCAGTCCAACCATTTACTACAGAACTCACATATGTACTGATTAAGAGCTAGCTTATATGGAGCAAAAATCAAGAATTACCAGCAGTCAAAGCAAACACCAGAATAAAATTTGAAGCAGCATGTCAGTAAACAAACTGCCATGAACAAAACAAAGCTAGATGGAAGAACGGAGCTGATGTGTGGAGGCGGCAGAGAGGCGGGGAGTATGCAGGGTGGCAAGGGAGCCAGGGGGTGTTTGTGAGCTCTGTTCAGGGAGTTTAAAAGGAGCAATTGTCCCAGCATACAAAGCTGTATGTCTTTCAGGGATCTTTCAGACGGCATGCTGCTCTTCAGAAACATTGGGGCCAATCAGCTCCGTTGCTCATATCTTTAGTACTAACTTCATGCGCAGAGTGAACGTTCATGCTGATAATGCATTTGCAGAACAAATATTCTGAGCTATTTCCTTGTGAGGAGATTATAAGAAAAACATCAGCCCACACTCAGGTCCAGCCCATCCCCGTCTCAGCCAAAATTGTTCAATTGAGTAAAGTTCGAGGCAGCACCCACAATTGGTCAGTTTTATTTACCTCATCGTACATAACCAGACAATGAACAAGCTTATTTGTAAAACCTAAATATTGAGTTACTAAGAAGCTGTTATACTGAGTAGTGAGCTACTACAATGAGACCATGGAGTAACTGGGCCGAATCAGCATACATTTCTGTATCAAAACCAATTCACATACTAGGTTGGTTTCGATAGCTACACCCCACAGAGTTATCTTCGAATTTACAAGACTCCAGACGTGTATTTTGACAAATTGGAACACTCAAAACAGAAACAAATTCCAACCATGACCTTGCAAACAATATCAGAAGACTGTTTTATGTAAACATGGTACTATTCCTATTCTCCTTGTCCAGCACCAAATACAAATCCAGTTGTAACCATCAGTAGATTGGCCCTGCAATCACAAACATCAGAAGCAAAAAAAAACAGAACATTGGTTATGAAACAGTGTAGTGATCAAGGTGGCCTCAGACCGTCCTAGTTCAGAAGTGTCGTCATCGTACAGACAATCTATGTTGCCTGTTCTGCAACCAATACTAATCATCACCGGCCACAATCAACTTCCCACTTTACAAATACCAAAAGTGCAGGAAATAACAATCAAGCAATGCAGAGTAAATTGTGTCAGATTCAAAGTTTTCTCAGCACCCTTCCGAGGAAGTAAGACAGGGATAACTGTATTTTTACTTGTGATCTCATCATCCACATCCAAACTGATCAAAAACAAGAAAAAGCAACAGAAAAATAGTTAACTGGAATCTATCAGATCTTCCTATCAATGTGAAAGAACTGACATGGTCGCCACAGCGGACAATTTCCCTTTCGTAGTTTCGCATCATTTAGATCCCAAAACACAAACACAAAGATATAAGGAAGTAGTACAAGGTTCAATGAATATATGAGGCGTTTCCAGGATAAGCTGGCACCGAGAACGCCACCAATCAGGATATCACCCCACAGAGAATCGCTTCTAGCGTCTGAGCCATTACCCCGTGAGGAACACAAATCATCCCCCGGAATCGGTAATGGACGCGCGCATAAATCAATCAATTAAACCAAGAAAAACCAACAAAGAATCAATCTAATTTACAGGTCAAAGGCGTCGGTTTGGGAGGATCTGGGAGCTCAGACAGCCAAGGGGTTGTCTTCAAGAGCGCTGCTGAAGAGGCAGCATCAGAAACTCTAGTCCACATAGATGTCATCACCGCTATTCGAACACCCCACAACCACGAGAAGATGCAAACAGAGAAGAACACTGATGTAAAAGAAAGCAAGAAGAAGAAGCGACGGATCGATGGTGCGAGATCTGGGAGCTCAGACAGCCAAGGGGTTGTCTGCAGATGCCGCTGAAGAGGCGGCATCAGAAACTCTAGTCCACAAATTTGTCATCACCGCTGCAAAACTCTCGTCGACCATCGATGGCAGCACGAACGAACAAGAAACAAATCGATACGAAAACCGAAAGGGCGATGTGGATCGGGGCAGAGGGGGGAGCTGCGGGTGGATGAACTGTTGGGGTTTGGATTATGGAGGCGGCGTTGGTGGGGATTTATAGGTGTGGCAGGATGTTTC